GGTAGTCTTCCCAAAAATCTGTAACATCACTCTAGTGATAAGAAAATGCACAATCCAAATTGAAAGGCATCCTATATAACACCTGATGAGGATGTCAAGGTGACAAAAGACAAAAAAGAAAAAAGCCCTTGTCACAGATCAGAAGACACTAAGGAGACATGAGGATTGAATGTAATATGGTATTGTGGATTGGATCTGGACAGAAAAAGATTATTAGAGGAAAACTGAGAATATTCAATTAAGGACTATCATTTTCTTGGTTTTGATATATATACCATGATTACATGAGATATTAACATTAGGGAAGTTATTAGATGACAAGTATATAAGACCTCTCTGTATTCCAACTCTTCTGTAAATTTAAAATAAAAATACTTTAAGACAAAAATCGGAATATTTAATTCACTATTCATCACTAGGAGCTCCAGTAGCATAGTGCCTAAGGCACCTGACTGCTAACCAGAAGGCTGGTGGTTCAAACCCACCAGCCGCTCCTCGGAAAGAAGGTTGGGCAATCTACTTCCATAGTGATACCGCCTCAGAAACCCAAGAAAGGGTCACTATGAGTCGGGTCCAACTCGATGGCAGTGTGTGTGTGTATATTCATCAATAGTGTATCATACATAGTTTATAATATTGGCCTGATATGTCATTCCTCTTACTTTAGTATCCCTTCCTCATCCCAAGTTAAAAGCCAGTAAGATGTGTTGCTAATTAAGGAATTATTTTTATTTATTTATAATCAAAATAAAAAGGTACTTTAGAATTAATACTAATCCCTCATGTATCAAAATTCCTAAAAACATGAATTTCCTATCCTTAGATACCGTAAGACATAGGTGGTTACAGTCTAGGAAACTTAAGAGTCTATAAACATGGGATATACTTGAATCACAGCCTACAGGCTAGCAGAAACATGGAAGGGTAGGTTGGTGACACTATCAGGCATTCCAGGGATTTTGAATCTTTCAAAGTTTCATTTCTTTCCTTTTTTTTAAATTTAAAAAAAAAAAAGGAAATAACTGGCATACATGTGTCTAGAGTACCCTACTTAGTACTACATGATTTATAAGATAGCTTAGATAAAGCCATTAAATTTCATTAGTCCCCTGAAAAGAGTGTAACAAAGATGAAACCTGGAGTCTAGTCTTACCCCTACCACTTATGTGATCTCAAGCAAATCACTTAGGCTTTTAAAGCTCCAGTTCACTTATCACTAAATATATAATACCTAGATGTGAGAGAACATCTCTAAAATATGCAAAGAGCTACACAAATACACCATACACCCACCAATGATTACAGCCCTATAAAGACATGTCCCCCATACTGGAAGCTTTTTTCTTACAAAGACGATCTTTAATTTAGTCCACAGGCCAAAAGCTAAGCAATATTACAACATGACAGATTAGCCACCTAACACAAGGGGAAATCTATCCTTTATAGTCATCTAAAGACACTACCTCGGAAACCCAAGGAGGGGTCGCTATGAGTCGGGGTCGACTCGACGGCACATAACAACAACAACAAAGACCCTACTTAAGACAGTGGTGGTTCAGTGGTAGAATTCTCACCTTCAAGATAGAAGACCTTGGTTCAATTCCCAGGCAATGCTCCTCACTGACTTGTCAGTGGACTTTCCAGGCCAAGATGGGCTAAGGAAGAAAGGTCTGGTGATCTACTGCTGAAAACTACCCAATGAAAAGCCTACAGATCACAACTGTACAATTCTGTTGTGCAAAGGGATAGGGGCCGGTTTGACAGTGGCTAGCAAAGTAAAAGACTTTACCAAACCACAGCTTATAAAGGATTTATTTTAATTGTTTTCTGGTTTATAAAGCCCATTCTTGATTCTTCCTGTGCAGAATATTCCTAGCTCTTCACCCTATCATCCAACTTGTAGTTCAGTCCTCAACCAAGGTTAGGCAGGGTGTCTAAGAATACCAGGGGGAAAGCAGGGGGTAAACAGAAACCAGGTACTTCAATAATATTTAAACACATAAAACTAGTTTAACTGTCAGAGTGATTACTGACTACAAGTGAGATTACAGTTGCAGAATCTAAATTTAAGTTCAGAGCTAGAAGGACAGTATTACACCACAAAAGGTTTCCCACTAGCTGTTTACAACTGCTCATCCAAGGAAAAGAGATCTACCTACTTTGACAATGGTCCCCTTAGCATAGTAGCAAAACACTAGCCAAAAACAGTTTTGTCCAAGGCACCTAAAAGAATAATATAATAAAGTAACAGATAATGCCTATTTAAATTCCCATGTATTTTTTAAACTACAAAATTTTGTGAAAAGACCAGGGGCATTTGTATGAAACTGCCCCTGCCCCCAAAAAATCGGTTTAGGTCTCAAATTCAGGCTTTAGATTTTTAACATAATGCCTTTAGCATTGGCCCCATTTATCCTTCTACAAACCATATACGATTCAAAAACTTATAAAAACTTGACTAAACTTATTCTACTTTCTGTGCAAAGTATTAAAGTAAAAGATCTATAACGTAAATTACAAAAATTGCTGCAAAGTAGTCACCAACAAACTTTTACCAAATCTGATGTTCTTACAGTGAGTGGACGGTCAGCTGAGAATAGCAAACTGAGTTAAATAATAAAAGCACTGCATCTTTTGTACCTGTTAGAAAAGGTCCAAAAGCTCATATTTGAAAGGAAAGTAAGTAGGGTCAAGTCTTATATTCTCACAATTTGCTTCATTTCACTTGCTCTTGATAAATGCATGCACCACAGACCAGCTGGGTACCAATATGTGAAATATCATGAATCTTCTTATTCCTGGCCAACTGATAGCAACAATTTGCTCGAAGCCAAAAATAGTTTTGTAGTATATGAAGGAGAATCTGATAAAATATTCACTCAAGCAGTATTAAAATTAGCAGGAATCAAACACTAGTTTAAAGATAGGTCAGTCATCATAGTTTTTTTAACATTTGGTAACTTAAATTGCTCATCTTAAAGTGCTAATTCAATAGTTACACAAAAGCAAGTTCCAAATAAAACAATGTCAGATCCAAAGGGAACTGTTATTTATGACAACTAAAGATAAGAACTTGTCCATACAATATTTTGATCCTTTATTGCCACATTCTGTTAAGAAACATGGGGGGGGGGGATCTTGTGTAAATGGAAATACTTAAAAATACTAAACTCCTGAGCTGTTTCCAATTTACAAGAATGTACATTATGTGTTCTAACTGCATAACCCCCTTTAAGATTAATCCTAAAAAGTATGGACAAATACAGTAAAATAGGTAACTGCTTTATTTGGGGAAAAAAAAAAAAGAAGAACAGGTTGAAAACCATTCAATTCAAAACTCATTCAAAGAGCTCGTCCCAAAACCTTTACTGACGTCTGGGATGCAAAGTAACGATTTGGACCTGCAACACAGGAACATTATTTCATTAAGCCACGCAGGCTTCAAAAAATCTACAATTTAACTCTACTACAAAGATACAAAGTCTCATCTTAGAAGTGGAGAAAGGTGTACTATACTTTTCAGCATGTATGCACAAGGCTAGTGCTAAATAACTGAATGTAGCCAGGCTTTCACACAGAAGATCCCAACTGCCACAGTGTGCGATTTCCAACACATCCCCATCACCTGTAATTCATCTAGCACTTACACGGCCCGCAGAGGTCAAATGTATCCTGTAACTGAGAGCCATCCTTTCCATTACAATTTTTAACACAGAGATGCTGGTGAGATCTGGATCTCAACGCTCTGAACCTTTCTTCGACTATGAAACAAGGAAATTATATTCTCAAAGGTCTTTCTCAAAAATCTGCTCCGATTAAGAAAAGAGTTCAGATTCAATGTACACATATCGGAGCCTAACTTCCAGCTGGCGGAAATTTCCCATCACCTCTCTGAGTTTCAAATCTGATGAAGAACACAGTCCATTTCATTTGCAATTTACTCACTTTTTTCCCCCTACTTTTCCCAGAAACTGGCAGCACTTCTATACATTATCTGTAGGAATAAAATTGAAATGAAGCTCAAACTCCCTTCCTTTGTCGTAATTCCACTTCCGACCCCTGCTCATCTCCCTGGAAGGCCACCACTGGCCTCAAGTACAAATGCCGCCAGCAGTCTTCTTGGCAGTCAAGTCTTTCCAGGTTGATGCTGCCGCCAGTGACGAGTGCTCTGGGGGCAAAGGTGCCCTGAGACCGTACAGGCCGCTGGAGCACAAAATAAAAGAGACTCGGGGACTAGGAGTCAGGTAGCCTGGATTCGAACACCTGTCCCTTACCGTGAGTCTGAACGCCTTTGATGTTTGTCACTCCACCTCGGTGCTTTAGTCCTCCGTAAAAGGAGGGAAACAACTGTACCTACCACATGGGGTCGTTACAAGGACTAAATGAAATACATGCAAGTTGCCCAGCACAGGCCCTGGCCCAGAGCAAGGGATTAGCAACATTAGTTTTATTATGGCTAATTCTCATGCACTCGACTGCTCCCTCTGCACACCCCGCAAGGTCGAAAAATGCTGATCCCACTTGAGAGTGGTCCCCACCCCTCCTCGTAGCCCGATCCAAGTTTAAGCCCCCGGGTCCGGGTAGGAAACAGTGGGCTGGCGCGTGGGGTGGAGAGAAGTGGATGTGGAAGGCGGCGGGAAAAGCTGGCAAGCCAGCTCGCAGACCCTCCCTGGCACCGCGAGCCTCCGGTCCCCCTGAGATAGCCCTGAGGCCCGGGCGGCGGCCGCGGCTCGCTCTCGCCCCGCGTGGCCGTTGGACGCCGCACGTGTACGCGGCGGCCAAGGCCTCGCGCTCCAGTAGGTGGGAGTGGGGGAGGCGGAGAACTGCCGTATGCGCCTGCGGCCGTTGGGGTGGGGGTAGGGGTAGGAGTAGCGGTGGGGGTGGGGAGTGGGGGTGGCGGGCGAGCCTCGCGCGGCCGCCGAACGGACTTCTGCAGCTAACAACCATTCCAGCTGGGCCCAGTCCTCGGGCGACCCAGCCCCGCCCACACCCCAGCGTACCTGTGCGGCTGAGCGGGAGAGGAACAAGCTTTGCTCCACAGCAGGACGGATAGCAGAAAACCCTAACGCAACTGCGTCGGCACACACGCGTGCTCCGCCGCCGGTCTATATAACCACCACTCAGCCTAACTTGTTATGGCCAGACTGGACGAGCAAATGGCCAATCCTGAATTCTCTTTCTATGCTCTTCGAACCACAATTGGGTACGGACTCAGGGTGAAGGCGTAGCTCTTGATTGGCTTGGACTCGGGCGTATGAGACTGTAAGGACCGCGTTTCCGTAGTAACGGATTGGCACCCAGTGAAGCCAATAACTTAAAGGTACAGTGGAAAGGAGGGTGGGAAGTTATGTGACCGATACCTATAATAGCCAATAAATCCACGGAGCTGCTCTCATTTGCTACAACGTCTTCCTCTGGGCGGTGATCCGTTTTCCATGCAGGAGCGGTTGCTCCACAAGGTGGGGCCCGTGTACTTTGGGGAAGTAAACCCCAAGCAACTGGGAGGTGGGCTCCAGAGAGGCCAAGGAAGCCCGCGACCAATCACAACACCAGAAGGGGTTGATTGACGCGGAGGTTGGACGGCTCCAAGGAAACCGAGCCCCAGGGCCCCGTGCCCTCTGGGGCGTTTGTAAGTTTCCGGGCTCCGACCTCTCTTCTGTTTCCTTTCTCTCTCTTATTTGTTTGGGACTGGCTCACTGTCCTCTTTCCCGCCTTTTCCTCACAATTTGGTACTAAGGGAACGAAGTGGTAAAATTTCCCTTTTAAGTTTGTTTGTTTTAATCTTTTAATTGCTTTTTTATTGCCATGCGGCAGCCTCAGGGCAATTGCAGACTCTTCCTTTTGGCCAGGACTATTGTTGGACCACAGTTAAAAGAAAACAAAAGAAGGAAGTACCTCCTGTTGTGTATGTAAAAAAATGTAGAAATATCACCTATAAAAACTGTTGAGTGAGAATTTACGTTTCCACCCCATTGCTTCTTGGCAGGAGCGCTGGTCACATAGTGGTTAAAAGCTGGGCTGCTAATTTAAAAGTGGTTCAAACCCAACAGATACTCCACAGGAGATAAATGTGGCAGTCTGCTTGCATGAAGATTGTTAAGTGCTGTGTTGTTGTTGTTGTTATGTGCCGTCGAGTCAGCCCTGACTCATAGCGACCCCTCCTTGGGTTTCCGAGGCAGTATCACTACGGAAGTAG